CCAAACAACCCCCCCCCCTCAATCCTAAAAACCAGCCAAGTTTGGTGCATTAAAAGAATTCGTATATGTGAATTCCCTATGTTTTTGAAGGTTAAGGAGTTATGAGAAGGCATATTCAGATCGATCGCCTCAAATGCAACTGTTAGACTTCTTTGCCTAGGTAAATGAATGCAACAAAATGTATGTGAAAAGCAATTCACTCTACTTTTCCATTTAAAGTGAGGGTAAATAACATTTGTGCATATGCTTTAAAGCAAACGACCTGATAATTCCGGAGCTCAGGTGAAGCAGAGTTCTCCTAATTACTGACTCCCACTCCTACTGCTCAAAATACCATTTCATAAAAATGGACATACTCCCCCCCCCCCTTTATAACTCTTCACTTCCTTTGCATTTGGAAGATTTAGATCATGAATATTTGAAAAGCTTCTTAGCCCTGCAGTGGAAAAGAAATAATTGAAAGAACAAAGACGGGGTAGCAAATTTCAGCATTCTTGCCAGAACTCCATTTTGGAATAGGAAAATAAAGTATTCAGGATCTGACTTTGGATATTACTTTTGTTCCCATTTCCTCCATTTTCAAGCACTCCCTTTGCTTCTGCACAGCAGGGATACTCGATATTCAATCACCAAAATATCTCACCGTCATTCTAGTTCTAAGTTATATTGAAAAGAGAAGCACAATCTTATTATAACAATGTCTCAAAGTTTTCATGAAGTAAAAGCAAATAGGAATGATAGGGTTCTGAAAGAGACCTGTCATCAAAAGTTCCCAGGTTCTAAAATGAACATTTTTATTTATGTATTTATTTATCATACTTAATAAAAAAGTATGAATTTCCACCTTAGGTAGTCGAAGACGGGTATTTAGAAAGAAGTCTAAAATGAGGATCCATCGATCTAAGGAGTTGGTATTTGAAGGAGCCCATGGTTACATGTTTAAACGATTTTAAAAGTTAAATATTTGTCCTCTGGGTTTCTGGTCGAATTTATGCCCCAGATTGTTTATCAATCACTTTCAATACCCAAAACAGCCTCTGATATTGAATGACTTAACTCTTAACTTCTATTGCTTCAGTAGCCCGAATCTTCTCGGTGGTTTGAAATTAATTAAATTTAGTCAATCCTTTTGACTAGCAATTAGAAAGAGCGATTTCAAAAGTGTCGCCTCATTTTACAACATCAGTTTCTCACTGAAACCGTCGTGGCACATCCATGAATCTATTCGATTGAGTCAGTTACCATTGAAATATCTCGCCAAGACAGTTATAAACCAGAAGTATTTAAGGCTTCAAAAATCACTATGTGGTCGCATTCAATCTGGAGCTCATTTTCGGAACTCAGCAACTTGGCTGAAAACAATTTGTCAAAAGTCTCTGGGTAAAGCAAACTCAGAGATAGTTGATATTCCTCCATAACTATTTCTCTCGCTTGCCGTAACTTCATTTAATTAAGTTCACTTAAAATCACGAAACAGAAATAGGTTTTAATGCTAGCGATTACTGAAAGGATGAGAGGGTTAACTTTGTGGATTTCGGTGCTGAAACAACGCACTAGAAATTGATAGGACCTCATTGTCATAAAAAGATGTATCACGATTTCTTAAACATTCTATAGGGCCCAAGCTTTGAAGGCAGATGAGTGCTAATTGAAATGGATATCAACTTTTAAGAGGCAATGTTGGCATTCATTCTCATATTCGTATTTTCATCTTACTCGAATTCATCTGATTGTAATAATGTGTCAACTTTTAAGTAGTGGACGTTGATTTCAATCCCTGTTTGTGAGTTACAGAGCCATTAGTAGCCATTATGAATAAGTGCTCCCTTACGTAATTTTAATGTAATATTGGTAACACATCTCATGGCACTGAACTTGTAGAGCAGAATAAACCAGTGGCGTTGGTCATGCCCATCTATAGGCGTGCATCGATGGGCAACCGCATTGTGGCCTTAGCCTTGTAGCTGACCCCTACTCTTGTCTGCGCTAGCACTAAACAAACTTCACAAAGTATATCGTAACATTTATGATGGAAGGCAGTAGCCCAGCCCCAACAGTTATCAGGTTAAATGGTTAAGCGAAGGTTAACGAAGGGCATTAAAACTACACCTAGTTGCTACCTCGGACTGTTACTCAGACCAGTCGTTTTAACTTTTATTGTTACTTTAATTTAGTACTTTAAACACGATTTAGGGAACACAAACGCATAGTCCAAACCAATGGATATATTCCGATAAAAGCACTGGATTTCTTGTATTTGCATTGAAGCAAAATTTGTGGCAAATATAATAAAATATGCCAGCAGTCAAAGTCTACTTTCTTCTATGCCCTTCATACATAAGTCGAAAATTTCGCTTTATTTCTGATAACTGAAATGGGACATTTTACGGTTTAATAATTTCGAGTGATCTTCATTTAAATTAGATTAGAGAAGTTGAGGTATTGTGTATTCAATAAGAAGTTCGTAAAATGTACTTCTCCACTATTTCTAAACTAACGAGCTCAATATTCAGGCACCTAGTAAATATTTCAAATAAAAACACACTTTTAAAAGAATCGTAAGTGGCATAGGTCAGTATAACCAAATTCTGAACTGTATTTGATATTTCCATTAAGGGAAATTTGCTTCTAACTGTAAAATATGGGCTATTCCGATCATGGAAGATAATCATTTTTTATTCGCTTATGAATTTGGAACTATTTCAATTTGGCTTTATTTCTCAGTTTAATATTTACTAATACATCCCCCCCCCATTCTGCCCTCTAAAATATGCTCCTTAGAAAACGAGGAATCGATCTTATCTGATGGATTAAGCTACTTCCGTGAGCGTGAGCCGTAACGAAAATCAATAGTGCAGTCTTGACTTGCGAATGCTACTCGCAATAGCTTAGAGACTATGACCGAAATTAGTTACACTTACATTAAATCTTTAGGCCACCATTTTAAGACCATTTGATTCATCTGGTCAAATATGTACTTTAATGGAATTATATGCTCAACCACGCACTCCTAATAACCACACTGCAATAGGAAATGCATTTAAGTATTTCCCATAGTGAAGTTAAAATACTATGATTTTTATTCATAAAGAAGTGAAGATAAAAATAATAAAGTTTTGCATGTATTTCCAAATAAATACGTGAATGGCTTTTTCTTAGCGTTATCTTCCTTTGAGCTCGGAAAATTCACCAGACAAACACCATGCGCCAGATTGATTCCGTACACACCAAGTGACTTTAATTTTTATTTCTATATGATCTTGAGATTTTAAGTTCAGGTTGTAGAAACGCATTCAAAGTAAATGTAATGTTACTGTTGAGTCAATAGATGTGATTAGTTTAATGCAATCTCGTGTAAATATAAAGCGGCAATAGAATATTTCTGAAGAACACGTTCACAATCAATTGAGCGACCAACACATATTTGCAAAGCACTGAAATAGATTTCCATAAAAGAATCCGAATTATTTGATACTGGTCGTAGCCTGTTGCTTTATGGAATAAAAATGCAAGTTCGCAAATTCCAATAGCGAACCTGCTCAATTGTAAAATCGAGTATCTCAATTTATTTCAGAGCCAGATGATTCGCTCTCGGCAAGGCGCCTAGTGACTTCGTTTCTTTTCCAGGCTCCTTTTTCAAACATCAAGCCTTTTGTCGACTCTTCCTGCTGCCTTCCCAGACTGCTTAACAATTCTGAATTATAAGAGATCGGTAATGACCGACCAATTCGACTTCACTTACACGAGCTTACCAAATACCTGTGAGAATATTCCAATTCGTTTGGTGAAACTGGCTGATACCTTGAGCACCCCCCCCCCCACTTGACATAGTCGCATTTACTTCGATGAGTCTGGTGAAAATTGGGATAGCTGTACTTCCACCGAGTGGCCCGAACATGTTTTATTTTGTTTATCTATGAAACCTATTTATTTCGATTAGTTGTGGTTTTCATCCATATTATACAAGAATCATCTCCTTTTAATAATTTTTTTCGAACTGATTTCGGATATCATGATCAAAGTAAGTAAATTCTGTCTCATTATTTGGTGCTTCTCAAATAAAAGATATGTTTCCTTATCCTATAACGATTTGACTCAGTGGTGAATTTTCAGTCATTTAAACGAAATTCTCACTACGGAATTACTGAAATTTGTTATATACTGCGTGAAACAAGAATATCAGTATACATAAGCTGCTATCCATTCACCATGGTAACCATTAACTATTCTTATCCATCTCTCTTCACTAAGCCATGGAATCTATTCTACGCTCGGATATCAAGACAGAGGCTTATCAGCCAGTTCGGCTTGATCGACAAGATAGTAAGAAAATCCCACAAGGGTATGAGTCACTCAATCTAAGAGACACTTATCTGACTGTTGTCAGTCTTATCAGTATTAAAGAATAATTAATCGCACCTGGCAGCAGCGCCTTCGCAGGACAACCAATTAAACAATAACGTTAAATCAACTAGCTTTTACGAAATTGTTGGACCCCATGCACAATTCCCAATAAGCATGAAATTTCGAGCTCAATGATTCCGAAATATATGATCAGAACTGAATAATCTTCAAACTCATACGCAAAGGCCACTACACTGCCATTGGCTCACTGCCTCCCGTATCGTGAAGCCGCCTTCCGCCAGTTACCAATCAGATTCACCGTGGGACTATCTAATTAAGCGGCTCATTTAGCAGCCGGCTCAGCTATTTCCCACTTGCTGAAGGTCATAATCATCTTCCCGTCTCTCCCCCTATGACGACAATTTAGCCCGGACCAAAAATGATAGCCAAGCAAGTCGACTGTGAGATAACGTAAATGCGTTTAATGGCTTCAAAATGGAATGCGGGGAACAGTTCAATAGACACTCAAAAAGGGAAACGGGGATATATATATATATACAAGGAAAAGGATAATGACAGAAATCTAGGTGCCATGACTAGAAGTTTAGAGTTGACTTGATAACTTGGCATTTTTGGAATGTAGGGGAAAGAATACTCTAAGATTCCACCAATCCCACCTTCCTTTCCAGCCAATCCCGTGAAAAATCAGCTGAAATGAAAAGAAAACAGATACGGAATGAAAAAAATTGAACTCATCGCAGTTGAAATCAAATGAAATTTACTCGGAGTAGCAAACTGGGATTCGACTTCAAGTAAGCGGGTTAAATCGGAAAATATTTTCTGCAGAATACGACTCTCCATAATATCTGAGATAGGGAAAGCGGGTTGGGAGGAGGGGTAGTCATGGAAGTCACGATGTAGCCGGAAGACCATGGAACAGAAACAGAAACGTAGAATGAAAATTCGAAGGAAATCTACGTAGAGGAATTGTTGAATGGAAGGATCTAAAAGGAAAGCAAATCTAATTGTTCACATAAAGCACAATATCATGAACCTGTCCATTTTACGATCTACCTAATATTTCCTATAGTGAACAAAATAAAGGCCATTCAGAACCCAGCTCGTCATATTGCAAGGCCTGCACAGCAGATAATAAGTCAACGGTAAAGTTTTGGTAGAAAAAGTCATTCCAAGAAATCTCCGATTCATTGAGCAAGTCTACTCAAGATAGGTAAAACAATTATTGGAATCGGAACAAGAGTTTGATGAAAGCGTGAATTGAGTTTTGAATTATAAGAAATCAACCTCGTGTATATTTTGGTTCTGGCTTGCCAAGACAGGTAAGTAATTACCTTACTTTGACTGGGGTAATTAAGACAATTCGATTTAAACTCAAGTAACAGATTTGGAGATAGAAAAATTTACCAAGTTGACGAGCTCTGAGGAGAATTCGGCAGCATTCACCCATAAAGGAATCGACCAGTGATGCGGCTCGTTCCCAAGTCTTTAGTGAGATGTTGGAGAACCGACAGACTTGCAGAAGACCCATAAGCGGAGAATGCAAGAAGAGTGTGAAAAGATTTCCTTTTCGCCTATCACAATCGTGTACTGTGGGAAGAGTGTTGGGAGAAAGTAAGCACACCAGTGGCTGACTGAAAAGGCTTTGGAAGTTCTACAATAAAGAAGCCCCACCTTGAAAGTGCAAATATGATGAAGGTGCTAACATTTGAAGAGTAATTTAGAGATATTCAGGGGCCTCGCATGAGATGCAACAAGAGAGAGAGATCAATGTTACACTTTGACGAAGCAATATTCCGCTTACTTCATCCAAAACACGACATTTGATCCATAATTGTAGAAATGAATGATGGATGATTGATTAAAAGCATGAAATTAATCAAGCGGGAAGAGAAACGAAAAAGAGAGACACCACCCCGACACTTGGCAATAACCCAAGTGCAGTGATTTTTAACATCTGAAATAACACGACCTAATAAAATGGAATTGCCCTGTTGTTGCATGTCATGGGAAATATATGAATAACTGGATTAGGTCAAGAATAAACACTGCTAGGGCAAAAGCCAGGGCAACTCAAGAGAACTGGTCTGGGAAACAAAATGATGGAAACTTCTTTGCAAGATGTTAATATCAACATTTTGAAAATTCCTTCAGTAAAATCTTTGTAACGAACATTACATATTTATAGAACTAGCTAAAGCGAAATTTTTCCTAGATGAACAAATTCTAATCTTCAATGATTTGAATAAGATGCTTAATTTCGAAATTCTTCATTAGAAAAGTTCAGCGAAATCATAGAATAACCACACCATCGATAGCAAAATACTACAAGTAATCTGAACAGAGCTATCAGTTTGGGAACTAATAATAAAGACGAAGTTCCACATTCTAGGCATTTTTAAGGAAAGGAGATGAAGGCTAATAAAATATCAAGGAAATGAATTCTTGTTTTCAAGTCGAAAGGCGCTAATTCCTTGAACTGAGTAGTCAAAAAATATCGAGCAGGTTAAAAATTCGCAACAATGAAATAAAATGAAAATATTATAATTAAATAGGTCTTGACAACAGTATTCGAACAGATACACAAGACTTAGGGTCATTTCTTTCCATGTAAACTCATAACTGCTCAAACAAGGATGGCATAGAAACTCGAGGTCGGGAAATATGTTATGTGCAAACACGATAAAGATATGTACTGACTTAATTTCGCAAGCGACCCACTAAGAACTTAGGCCAATATACCACTTGATAATTACATTATGGTGAACACAGAGCGTAGACCTTCGTATGAGAACGATGGTCTTTGAGTAGAGATTGGAATACTGTTAGCCAATACCCAGTACTGCTTGGAAGAATAGTCCATCAGACATAAATGTTCCCTTCAACTCTCAACTATAAGTAAACTTGACTTACCAATAAGACGTTTCTAAACTAAACCCCCGCTAACCACAATTATAAGTTCCATGCATAGTTAATCGAAATAGCTCTCATAATGAAAACACCAAGGAAGGATTTAAAAATCTATTTCGCAAGTCTGGAGACCTACCATTATAACTTTCAACATAACAATTCCCAATTCTCACTAAGGAATTAAAAGGCTCTTGTTAAGGTGTGAAGGTTAAGGAGTTTTTGGGACAGTTCAATGGAAGTCAAAGTTTAACTTAATTTGGATCATTGCAATATGAATAGTTTTTATTTCGAAACGAAATATGGCTAATCAATTTTCATATAAATAGTTGCAATTCAAGTGACTATGAGACTGAATTTATAATCGCCAGAAAAAGGCTAAAATTTTATGAACTACGACAAAAATACCTTGAATGCAGAGCTGTTATCACTATCGACAATCAGAAAGAGAGGTTTGCGAGTATAGGCAAGAAGATCTCCGGGATGGATACTGAAAATAAAAGAATGTAAATATACACATATATATATATATATTCATCAAATCAATACAAGGGAGAAAGATCACAAAAGAAAGGATGACCAACCAATGGGGATCACGGTGATATGGCTTGAGTTTGGTTTTAGGCCCAGTGCTTCCCTCTCGAAGGGGATTAGTTACAACGCCACCGAAGTCGAATCCACTGGCCAGAGATGCTAAAAGAGAAATCAAGGTTTATAGATGACTTTGGTTGAAGAATTTAAAAAATAAAACATGCAAAAAGAAACGCGAATTAAAGTAGTAAGTGGTTCCAACCCATAATCAAACAAAAAGAGCAAAGATAAAAATATTCAACCGTTGAAAGAAAACCGGTGTCTTTTAGACGACAGAACTAGGAAAGAGGAGGGCCAACGCTCCTGAAATCCAGGCAATTCTTCAACACACATAGACAGGTAAGCCTATTTAAAATTTAGTTGAACAGTAATTGTGTTAATTGGATAAATATAAAAATAGGGATGCATAGAGGATTCGTAGAGGAACTACAGGTAGGACATTAAGAATGGCGAAGGGAGTAGAAATAAAAGTTCGGATTTTTATAATTACCAATTACATGCCATGCTAAACAAAATTACATTTTAAATTATGTACAGCTTCAAAACAAGAATATGAGCCAAGTTTCAACAAGGATAACGACGTCCAGTTTCCTTTTTCCAGACACAACTAGCAACTAGAAAAACACCAAACCTCCGATTTAAGCACTTATGCTTGCATTAAGTAAAATAGCAAAACTCTAATCTCAAGTGAATGTTTGTTGTAAAAAATAACTGATTTAATACCATAAAAGTTCTTAATGATAAACCGGAACCAATGAATTTATAAATACCCAAAAAGAAAGTCCAAATAGTGTTGTATTGGCCAATTAAAAGGACTCTTGCATAATTCAGTCTGAAATTTTTAGCGAACGAATATACATGACAAGCAAAATGAAGGGAACTACTTCAAAAATCATTCAAAAGTTCTCGATTTTACTTCATTTAATCCTTTTGATTCCCATAATTGGTATTCTTCAATCCAATCAGTAGATTGGGGCAATGGCCCCAATGACAAGGCTGCAGATGATCTAAGGTCAATAAACCCCAAATAAGTGAATGTATTTCCAGTGGGAGGGCAGGTGAACTAGATCTAGGCCACACGGAGCGACTGAAGATGGGAGGTAAGGGACAAAATGGGGGGCACGCTATTACCAGCTGCCATAGCAACTGAACTACCAAAGCAGCCATCGGCCCAGTGTCCACCCTCTGCCCCTCACCTTCACAACCCCCCCCCCACACAATCCAGGGTTATTTCTAATCATGCCTGCTGAAATGGCTAAACGGAAAGCCATAGCAACGGGAGCTCTGAGCCCTAGTAACCAATGTGAATGACAATGACATCACTGATAGACGCAAAGCAGAACCCCGAAAACACAGAAAATGAAAGTATAAACGCATAAACACACGACAAGGCGAAATGTAAACTAAGAGGAGTCCAAACGTGGTCCCTGGTTCTAGAAGAGATAAGCTGACATAATTAGCATTTCAGGTGGCCAAACAACAAAACAAAAAAGGGCAGTGGACATGAAAAGTGTGATCTAGTAAATTGAAAGATGCACCAAGTTGCCATGGCATAAAGACGACTGCTAGCCCAATCCGAAGACCAAGCAAGCGATTGCAAAGAAACGCCTTATGCAATTAAACCAATGATTAATAATTAGAGCATTGATCGGGCAAGACGATCAACAAAAGTACATTCAATGAAGTTATAAATATTCAAAGGGATTGTTAGGTATTAGCAAAACAATAGAATATACTTCTAATGATCAAATATCCGTTACGTTTAAAATAAGTATAAAAGCGCCATTTAATGGTCAGAAAGGAACGTGACGCGGAAAATGGACCTACCTTCAGGATGTGCAAAGTTTTCGGACCAAGTCAGCCCATCAGCTGAAATGTAGAGCAGAAGGGCCCCATCTGAGGGAAGATCCTTGAACCCAGTTGCCATGAAGGTATTGAATAGCGAAAAGGAGGGCTTATAGAGTAGATATTTGTGGGGATTTTTAAATCTCTTGTCCGACAAACTGGGACTAGGAAAAGGAAGTTCATATCCATCGCCATTTTCAAAACTTTTTTGGGGGAAAAGTGCGGCCGAGGTTCGACGAGAGCAATCTTTAGGATCGCGTTCAACACATTGAAGTATGCGGAACATGTCGATGGTTATTTCACTGAATTTAACTTGGTCAAATGTATTTCCGACAATTATGATCTCAGAAAGTTCAAGACTTCGAAAATTATTGCCTGTGTCAATTGGTGGACAAGTACATTGAGTCAATCGAGCACTGACAATAACCGGTGATGAATCGACGTTTAAAATGGTGCAGATATTATCGGCATCGACAAAAGACTGAATCTGTTTAATAACACTGCTCCACTCCGCTTGTGCAACGGCATCAAAATTATTCGTATGATCCAAAATATGTATATTGAATTCCTAGCAGAAATGCTTCAGCGCAAATAAAATGTAGAATTACCTTGATAAGCTCTCGAGCAGTAGTCACACGCTTCAACAGAAGACAAACAATAATAAATCGCGCATAGTAACGTAGCTTTTTTACCGCCTGCTCAGTAGCATCATCTTTACTGATCTGAGAAAAATACTTTCTCTCGTGAATTGCAGTGAAAAATGAAAAAGCCTCCATAAGGTAGGACGTATCACTAGTCCTTAAACTACAAATAATTTATAAAAGGACCATTGATAGAAACCTACTAGTAGTGGTAGTAAAGTTGTGCAATTTTAGAGGCGATTTCGCCGATCTGCCAACGAGATAGACCATAAACATCATCCAAAACTTCTCGATGATGGCGCTGGAACTTCCATAATTTAGTATAAACATCAAAAGTTCGGCCGAAATAGGTTTGCCACTGTTTGTGCCCGTATTGCGGAAGATCGCTGTATGAATAAAGAACGCAACCACTCATTCACAATTTAAAAATCTAAGTTATAGTCTTTACCGCAGCAAAGATAAGAAAAATTTAAATTATGAAAATCTGAGGAAATTCACCCACTTGTTGGGGGAAAAGCTCAAATAAAACATGTCAAACGATAAACTCTTGCAAGCCTTAGACGAACGACTTACCGAAGCCCATTGAAAAGTTGCTTAGATTTTTCTAGAAGATGGCAAAATTCGGCCACAATCGCATTTTTGGAAATTACTTCGACACTTGGAAACACATCCCTGCTCTGCAAAGACCGCTCAACCGAGGCCATCAAAAATTCGTACTCTCTGGTAAGGTTTTAAATTATGTCAATCGAACAATGTAAACAAGCGAGCAAATTATATTTTCATATTTTGCCCAAGGTTTTTTAGGTAAAATATAAAATAAACACTGCAAAAATTTGCATTGATAATTAATTATTTATAGCTCAAGTATGATTTTTTTGGAAATTGTTAGATCATTACAAATATTAACCAATAAAAAAATCTTTATCAATGTATGAAGTCGATTTCATTAAATAAAATATCAAAGTTAAGGCTATTTCATACTATTTTAAATTATATTTATCTAGTATCACTACACCATTGAAGAAAAGGTTTGCAATACTGTAAGATTAGTATTGAAATATATAGTAAGAACATTATGGATTGATAAACTAACATAATGATCAATTGGAATATTTAAGTATTCCCTTTGTTCAAATCATTTGTTACATTCGAGTCTTTAACATTATCGCATTCACATAAAACTTTTGAAGTTATGTTCATAAGCTAACCTTTCATTGTTTAACATATATCTCACACATTTTTAACTGAATTTCATTTTTTTTTATTGACCCACGTAAGCCTCGATTTTATCAGCTCCTAACATAATGGCAAGAGTTCTAATATATTTTTGATGATAATTATAATAATACAAATTCTAAACCGGAGATTTTAAAAGAATTAATTTGCTCTGGAAGACTATTTACCTCATCATTCCTCTCGCTTAATATGGTATTTCTTTTATTATGAAAAGAGTGACGGGTCAAATAACTTTAAAACATAATTATGTCAAAGATGAGTTAGATTAATTTAGGCATGTCTTAATTTACCAGTTTTTTTAGTTAGTCGAATTGGTGGGAAAAGTTTTATGACTTAATTTGCAATTTTTCAATCGTTAACTAATATAAATATAGGTAAAAATTAACAAACTTTCGTTATTCATACAGCCAGCTAGTGTAATTATCGATATCATTTTAAATCATAGACCTTCACAGTTTGGTAATAGTTCCAGTACACAGACTTTTGTTTAATATATTTGTTTCTTGTTTTTTTGAATACTTGTTAATAGGACGATTATTAAGGAATTTACGGTGATAGAACTTTTGAAGCTTGTAGCGGATACTGCACAATGGTGTCTATGCGTATTCTCCTAGTATGAAAATAAACCCCCAAAGAAGTCAAGTCAACAAAATACAATTAAATGTTGTTAATAAATGTACCGACTATCAATTAATGGTTTGCAGAGAGGTCACTGCACTCATCGCCGCACCTTAAGCGACAAGTGGCTCGAAGCACCTTTGAGTCTAACTGAGTTTGAATGAGTAGATGAATAATGATGTGAAAATTGGAGTCGATCGGTTTATGAAGTTTGAGTGGCTGCTAAATAGCTCAATTTCCTAACAGCATCCAATGGCCATAAAAGATTTAAACATTTGCAAGGGACTCTGTTCGGTCGAAGTTTTGCTTTGAAGTTGATTGTGAAACAGTTGCACTTCTTGTTGTTATTTAGGTTTGTATTTGGTTATATTTTCCTAGCTCCTCTTTCCCTAAATTTATTCACCCCCAAAATACTAATGGAGATGAAGTTAGTATGTGACTATGTATTTTTTTATAA